CACTGTCCCCGGTTGGGGTACGTCTCCGTCCGTGGCTCCAGCTGATACCAGCGGTCGTCCCAGCAGTGCAGGTCCTGCAGGCACAGAGACACGGGTGAAGCCCTGGGCAGCCTTCCTGGTGAGGGATCCCGCTCGGGTCCCCATGCGCTAGCAGGGCAGGAAGATGCTTATTGAATAACTATATTATTTGATTTAAAAATAAATTAAAAAAAAAGAGATGCATAACCACTGAGTGAGCGGGTTGGACTGGCCAGGGCAGCTGCCACCAAACTGTGGGACCTGGTGTCAGCCTGGATCCTGGGTGAGCCCGGTGCTGCCACAGGGGTGGGATCCTGCGGACCCCACGAGGTTTAACTGGAGCCCGAGGAGTCCCTCGGAGGCTCCGTGGTGCTCACCTTCAGGCGAAGGACCACGTTCCCCAGGAAATCATCCTGCCCTTTGTCTTTTCGAGCATCTTTAAAGATCCTGAAAGGCATGAACCAAGGAGGGGATGAAAAAGTTTCCTGCAGCTGTGACCCAGCCGCCATGGGGGTGAAGAAGGGTGACGCAGACCGGCTGCCTCCCCCCTCCCCACACCTCCCAAAGGCAATTTTGAAAATCCAGCAGGCAAATAAGCATTTTCCAAACCCTTTTTCCCTGGCAGCCATTCCGGCCACGCCAGCACCAACCGTTTGAGGCCGTGGAGGTCCGTCAGCTCCCCCAGCTTGGGCCGCACCGACTCCACCACGTCCGAGTCCCTGCGAGGGTGGCAGCGAATCCCACCGCGGGGAAAAGGAGGAAATTCAGGGGATGGCAAAACAGCTCAGGGAGTTGCAGTGATGGCAGAGAAGGGAAGGTGCTGGGAGGGGAGTGAAATGTGTCGGGACTGAGGCGACCCCCAAAACCAGCTGTCTAGCCAAAAGCTGGAAGCACGTGGCTTCTTTCCACAAATAAAATGAGGGCTCAGGATCAGCCCTGCCTGGGGTCGTTCTGCCCATGCCAGCCGCATCCTGCACTGTGCACTGCTCCAGCAGAAAGTGATGGGGAGAGGGGTACCCAGCTGGTTTCTGGGGCTTTGTAAAGGGTGCAGGTTGAAGGACCACCCCAGGGACCCTCCCCAGGTGCAGGACCCTGCTCAGGGCCAGGGCTGGGGGTCGCTGGCTGGGGTTGTTGCCGCTCACCACATGTCTAGGTGGAAGCTGGCCGTCTCCGTGTCTTCAAACTCCCTGCAAGGCACCAGAGGGATGCCGTTACTCAGGCAGCATCCAAGGGACCAGCAGCAAAGGACAGCTGGGGGTTACAAGCAGGTGGGAGACCCCAAACCACCCCGCACAGCCTGGGGAAGCGATGGGAGAGCCCTGAGGGAAGGATTTTTTTTGCCACACTTTCATTTTTCACCTTCCTAGACCTGCTGAATGGGTCAGACCAGAAGCCTGGCAAGTCCTAGCGGGCATCCTTCCAGCAGAGCCCCAGCTCCTGGC